AGATGGGGCGCTGTTTAGAGAGGGGTGTAGTCCGAAGAGCCCGTAGAATGGAAGGAAACATTGTTGGGTCAGGGGCAGGTGTGTATGGGACCACCCGTCTCAAGGGCCCTCGCGTTATGCAGGGGCTCTGGATTGGAAATTAGGAGAAAGGCCAGGGGTACCAGGAGATGAGCAGTGAGAGGCAGAGTGGGGGAGGCGTACAGCATGAGCCTCGGAAGGCCTTCCCAGGACGCTGGAGAGGCGCTGGTGCAGCATGGCGTGGAATGAGGATGTCAGCAGCAACTCCTGGCCTGGGGACTGTGGTGAGGGTTGTGGAATGTGAGAAGATGGGCAGCCCACAGCAGGACAGACGGACAGACGGACAGCAGAGGAAAGCCAGGTTTCAGAACTTGAGCGGGTTGAACAAGTACAATTCCATTGGTTATGGAATGGATGCTCCAGAGAGCTTGGTGCAGATCTCTCTCCTCAGAAGGAGGGAAGCCCAGAGGAACATGAGGACGAATGGCCAAAGCCCAGTTTCTACCCATCATTCTCAGGTGTTCTTTTAGGGTGGCAAGGATTTGAAGCAGCATGGGATTATCATTTGATAAGGGAAGAGGTCTGCCTCCTTCCTTCCTCCCTCCCTCCCTCCCTCCCCCCCCCTCCCTCCCTCCTTCCCTCCTTCTTTCCTTTCCTCCCTTCCTTTCTCCATCTCTCTGTTAGCCACCACTATTAGAAAATAGAGGCAATGTTTTCTTCAGTATCCTGAATTTCACAGATGAAATATTTATTGATCTTCATATTTTATGAATACTTTGAGTCCTATAAGTAGGTTTCTCTCCAGTAATTCACAATGGTGTCCGTGGCCCAGTTTTAGCTACTGGGCAGTGTTGCATTGTGAGTGAGTTTTGCTAGCCTCATTCCTGGCTGTACTTTTTCCTCTCTGTCCTGTTTTTCCTTTATCTTTCTTACCTTCTAATTTATGTCATTTGATTGTATTTTACCTATCACTGTCTTTGATAGAACAAGCTGTGGTAAAAATCAGTAAAATAAATACTGGGCTCAATTGTGTGAGCATCCTTCTGTTTCGTGATGCCTTTTCCCTTATTGCCCTCCAAAGTGTCAGGCAAGTTTCTCCTTTCATATTAAATCCCCTGTGGTCCTTAAAGGAGCTATGGAAACATAAGCATCTTGTACATGTAGCTTAATAGATATTAAGTAAGTATGGTGTGAAATTTGGAAACTAAGATGAGTACAAAGAGGACAGTTTTCGTGACCAGTTCTGAATTTTCTTCTGATCTTTATCCAGATGTTAGCACAAATGAAATCGTATGTACAGTTAATTTGCTATCCTGTTGTTTTCCCTTAAAACTATATTGGATCTTTTGTCATTTAAAATGTATTACAAATATAATTACATGGTTACTGATAACTATAGAATAACTACACCATGCTTTTCTTGGTAGTGTGCCATTGTTAGACCTTTAGGTGACTGTGATTCCTTTGCTATTTTAAATAGTGTTGCAATGCAGAGCATTACACAAATATATTGGCTAGTTCCTTGCTTGCTTCTTTGTTTTGCTCAGGCTGGCCTTAAATTCTTGGGTTCAAGCCATCTTCCACTTCAGCCTCCAAGTAGGTTGAACTATATGTGTGAGGCACCATGCCTGGCTTATTTGCTTATCTGTCTATCTATCTATCTATCATCTGTAATTTAGCAGTGGTGGGGAGTGAGCCCAAGCCCAGCCCCCTATCCCGCTTTTTTAGAGGTATGATCTTGCTATGTAGCTCAGGTTGGTCTTACACTTATCCATCCTCCTGCCTTAGCCTCCCCAGTGCTGGGATTACAGGCAGATGCCTGTTTTATTTGCCACTTAAAATTTTTTTCCAGTGGTAAATTCCTAGAAGCAGAATAACAGAGCCTAAAGACATAAAAATAAAACCATAAATGAAGGTAAGGATATAAGGAATAAACTTGCAAAAGGGGGTCCTTATTGATGACACAAAAAGTAGCTACCTTAAAGGGAAAAAATGGGTGAAATTACTACATGACAATCAAAAAATTCTGCATCCAGAAACCATTTGGAAATTATGATAGGCAAATTGCCATAAAGAGCTTATACAAAGGAAAAAGCATCACTTACAATTTGAAAAAATATGAAACAGACATTTGAAAGATTGTCCATCTGCAGTAGTCATCAGCTCAACAATAGTAAAACAAAGGTGACATATTATTTTTCAGTTAGATATCTATTAAAGATAACTAGTTCCTAAGAATATGTGGTAAGAATATAAATTGCTGGCTGGGTGTAGTGCCTCATATCTATAATCCCAGCTACTCAGGAGGAAGAGATCAGGAGGACTGTAGTTTGAGGCCAACTGGGGCAAAAAGTTAGTGAGACCACCTTAATCAATAAGCTGAGCGTGGCGGCATGCACCTGTGATCTAAGATTTGTGGGAGGTGTAGGTAGGATGATTGCAGTACAGGGTGGCCTGGGCAAAAGTGTGAGACCCTATTTGAAAAACAAACAAAAGGGCTAGTGGGTGGCTCGAGTGGCAGAGCACCTGCCTAGCAAGCGCGAGGCCCTGAGTTCAAACCCCAGTACCACATACACACACACACACACACACACACACACACAAGAATATAAATTACTTCATTTTTGAAAGCATGTCACTTAATATGTGTGTTCTTTCATCCAGCAATTCTGGCTTTAGGAATTTATTTAAAGGGAATTATCAGATAGGTGCCTAACGATGTTTGCTGCAGCACTGTTTATCTGTTGAAGAATTGGGCTGGGAATGTGGCTTAAGTGGCAGAGCAAATCCCAGTACTGCAAAAAAAAGCAGGAAAGAAAGATTGAAAATAGCTTCAGTGGGGATTTGGTTTAATTATGGAATAGCCATTAAGTGGAATGATACATGTGTTAAAATGATTTTGTAGGTCTGAACTTAATGTCTAAGATGTATTAAAGTGATACAGAAAATGAATAAATGTGCATAGAAAAATGGAAATATATAACTGTAGTATTGGTTTTGTTTATTTCTATTTAGAGAGATTATGGCCAATATTTAATTTCATTTCCTTATTTTTCCTGAAGTTTAGTATAGATGGATATGTATGTATGTATGTGTGTGTATATATATATATCTCCTGGATAAACAGAAGGAGGAAACAGCCAGTTCTTCTAATGTGAGATTGGTTGCAGCAAAACAAAACAACCAAGCACCTTGTGTTTTATCATGCTGCTTTTTTTTTTTTTTCCCCTTGCTGTACTGGGGTTTGAACTCAAGGCCTTTTGAGGCAAGAGCTCTACCACTTGAGCCATTCCTCTGGTCCTCATGCTGCTTTTTATAGTTACCAAATCTTGATTTTAAAGTTGGAGTGGAAATATTCACATAAAATATAATTTATGAAATGGAGGTGAAAGACACAATAGAGAGAAATGGTCAGCTGGTCGTGTAAGATTTCAGAAGTCACAAAGGAGAGTCCCCTGCAGTCAGTCCTGGTTCCAATGAAAATGAGCTGCTGTCACCCTTCACCTTTCAAAATCCACCTGTCACTGCCCATGGTTGCTGCCGAGTCCTCCAATGGAGCCTGTTGGGGGATCTGAGGGGTCTTGAATGTCCCTTTCGACTGTTGAGGAAACAAAGGCTTAGGGTGGCATCTGGGGATCTTGTGTGGGTGTTGTGACTGCTTGGGGCAGAGCTCTGCGCACTCTGCCTCAGGGGCAGTGTCAGGCCACCATCTGCAGTGTTCCTGTCACACAGTGCCTGCAGAGTTCATCAGCAGTGACTTGTTCTCAGGATTTCAGCTTTCTCTCTCCACCTGCAGTACTGCAATGCCCTTCTCTTAGGGGCATCTTCTAGTCGTTTATACAAAGCTACACTGAATGCATCCCCTACATCTTCCCCCACCATGTGTGGGAAGTGTGTGTTAACTGGGTGTTGCTGGCAGGTGCGTGGGATTTGAAAAGGGTTAGTTGGGGTCAGTCCCAGACTGGGTCCTTTCCCGGACTATGAGCACAGCTTTTGGGGAGGATCACGTCATAATCTTCAGTGCCAGAGCTCTTCATAGCTTTCTTCTTTGCTGGATGGATAATTTATGTGTTTTTTAGATTTTCTAAAAAAATTGGATCAAGGCAGATTTTTGACTTGAGAAAGTAAAAATTTATAAAATGTAGTTGGAGACATTTTTATCTTATACTGAGATCAGTAACTCTCAGTAACCTACTAGAGAAATATGGCTTGTCTGAGACATGATTTTAATTAATGACTAACAATCTTGTTTGGGTATAAATCAGTTTTGTTTAACATTGGTTTTATTGCTGCAGTCACATTTCAGAAAACTTAAAAAAATTCAGGGACGGGAGAAGATTATTAGGATTTTTCTGTAATCCAATGGCATTTTGTTTATTTCTTTCTAGATATTTTCATATGCATCCAAAGTACAATATGCCTTCAGGGTCATAGTTCTGGCAGAATTTGGTGGATTAAGCAAAACTTTTCTGTTTTCACGGAGTCAGCCTCCTGAGTGACCCACTGTCTGAGCTCTTGTTTGTTTCCTTCCGCCTTCCCCACAGCTCGTGAGTGTGTGAGCAGAAGGTGGAGACCTCATTTCTTTCTACAGGTTTGGCTTCAGTAGCAATATCCTAAGTGGAATTACTGTGCAAAAAGACATTTTTAGAGTTAGGCCTGGAGGAAATGGATCAAATGTTTGATACAATTCTGAGGGACAGTTGAGTTCCATTTCCTGAATGTAGGAAAAAACAAAAACAAAAATCCCAGAAAATACCAAACCTGACATTTGCATCCTAGCTCCTTGAATTTTAACTGGGCCCCATGGCCCAGACTGGTCCTTCCATGTTGGTAAACTCTGCCATTTGGCTGCTACACTTGGTGGAAAGAAAGTGTTCATGCCCAGTTTGGTTATTCTGAGAGCCCTTTTTTCCTTCCTTTTAGCCAAGACATGCTACCATCCCTTCTGTTTATTTTTTTTTCCATTCTCTTCCACTTTGCAGAGTACTCGGGTGGAGTTTGACTTGCCAGAATATTCTGTCCGTCGAAGATACCAGGATTTTGACTGGCTGAGGAGCAAGCTGGAGGAGTCACAGCCTACTCATCTCATTCCCGTAGGTAGTAAGTTGTGACAGCTTGTTACCTACTCATCCTGTCACCTTTCCCCTGGGTATTGGTCAGCCTTGCCCCTTCAATCACAGGTGCAGTCCACCTCGATTCACCTGTCATATGCAGGTAAAACATTTTGGGTAGTATATTTCACCTTTTGGGTTTTGGCTTCTGATTTACTGTGCCAGTTTCTGTGGGGTAGAGTTTCACTTTCATGGTGACAGTTCTCACTTGCTGCTGCTTTAAAGGTTGAAGTTGGGAGTGTGAGCCTCACTGAAACTCTTTTTCCTTCTTGGTACAAATCACTTTTGAGGTTTGAATGGCTGCCACTGGGTAAAGAAAGATGCTTCACGTAGTGGCTGGCTTTCTTTGGATGTGAGCAACTCAGGGACTGGAATCCAGCATACCATTCATGCAGCCACAGTTTTCTATTTAAAGAACAAACAAGAAAAACACCTGTCTCTACCTACTGAGGCAGCATAACCTGTACCTACCACGTACATCTGCATTTTTTTTTAACAGAACCAGAGTGAATGAAATTTCAAAGACTAATAAGATACGTATTAATTATTTTTCTGATGACTTTTTTTTTTCCTTCTTGAGGACTGGGGTTTGAAGTCAGGGCCTCACACTTGCAAGGCAGGCTCTCTACTACTTGAGCCAACCTCCACCCCTGCACCCCAAGCCCTCTGATGCCTTTTTTTTTTTAACGTAGTAATAATAACTGTTTAGACTCCAATTGTTTTGAGGGGTCTATGGAGCTTTAGGGAAGTGAAAGACAGACTGCTCTATCATGCAGCAAAAATCTTGTTTGATAAAGTCTTAGCACTTCTGTTTTCCTGTTGCCATTACATCTTCCAACCTTCTTTTTTTCCTCCATGGTTGGAAGAGGCTGTGTGTGTTGTGAACATACACATTGTTTTTCAAGGCAAAAGGAGTCATATTGCTGGCATAGGGGTAGAAACGATAGGACTCCTGAGGACTCTGCTCTTCCCAGAGTGGCTTGTCTTTGCTCACCATGTGTTCTTCTGCTCCCCAAGCCTGAGCTTTTCCTTTTCTACTTTCTAATCACTAAAACCATGCCTGCAAAGGAAAAGATCATTTTTAAGCCGTTGGAACTATCCCTTAAAATATAATCTTAATTTGACAAAATTGGCAGCTAGTGAATAACTTTTTAAAACAAACTTTTTATTTCAGAACAGTTTTACAATCACAGTGGCTAATACCAAGGCACCCAGCAGGCTGAGATTGGAAGGATCTTGGTTCGAGACCGGACTAGGCAAGAAGTTAGCAAGACTCCCATCTCAACAAATAAGGCAGGATGGTAATTCATGGATGTAATCCCAGCTCTACAGGGGGTGTAGGTAGAAGGATCATGGTCCAAGGCTGGCCTAGGCAAAAATGCAAGACCCTATTTGAAAAATAACAAGCAAAAAGGGTGGGGTCGTGGCTCAAGTGGTAGAGCACCTGCCTAGCAAGTGCAAAGACCTGAGTCCTTCAAACTGTCCCAGTACTGTCCAAAAAAAAAAAAAGAATGATAGAATTATTGCAAAGATAACAAAGAGAATTCTCATAATATATTCCACACTCAGTTTTGTTCCTTGTTAACATTGGTCACAATTAATGAACCAATCATCATTGTCATCATTTTTAAATAAACCTTTTTTGCTAAAAGTACTTTTTTCAGAGTTCTGTTGCTTTTCTGTTCTGGGACCCAGGACACCACATTATTTTTTGTAATGGGGTCTCTTTTTGGTTGTAACAGTGTCTCAGGCTCCCTTGTCCTTTGATGACCTTGACAGTTTTGAGGAGCACTGGTGAGGTATTTTGGAGATTGTCCCTCAGTTGACATTTGTCTGGGGTTTTTTCTCGTGATTAGGCTAGACTGAAGTAAGTGTTTTGGAGAGGAAAGCCACAGAGGTAGATGTCATTCTCATATGATCACTGTTAACCTGGATCACCTGACTGGAGGTGGTGCTCATCCCCCTCCCCCCAGATGTCTGTCTGTCAACTCTGTCTCTCGCTGCCTTCCACCCTGAGCTCTGCAAGGAAGGTGCCCGCAGGATGCTCTCCCTTCTGACAGCCAGTGGTTTGAGGTTTGAGGCTTGAGGATCAAAGGCTAGAGAGTGACACCTGCTGGTGGAACACGGTGGCACGCGTCCACAGACTGAAGTCTGTGCCCCGCTAGATGGAGCCTCTTTAAGGGTGGTTTATTAGGGTTTGGGTAGACTTGGTGAGTAGGAAGGAATGTGAGAATCAGATGGAGACAAATTTCTTCATTAGTCCTTGATAGATATCTGAAGTGAAGAGAGGGTCAATTTAGGAGAGTAACCCTGATTTCAAAGTGAAAGTCAAACTAGAAATGAGCCTCTTTACAAGTCATTTCACAGCAACTTTGCTAGGCTATCCAGCTAGGTTTTGAATTTCATGTTTTCACTAGGCCTGGTGGGTGACCTTGGAAAGGATCAGAGGGTAGGGTGAAGAATTTGAAGATGGACAAGGATCTCTGCCATGGGGAACTTAGTGTCGGATGGCGAGCCAGTAAATGTTCTGCATAATTGTTAAATTTCTTAGATTGCCTTTCTTTTTCTTTTTTTGAATAGGGTCTTATTGCTTAGGTTGGCCAGAACTTGCTGTGCAGTACAAGCTGGCCTCAAACTGTGATCCTTCTGATCTCTGCCTCCTGAGCACCTAGGATTATAGGTGTGAGCCACTGCACCCACCTCCTTACTCCTCTTTTATTGTCAGATAATATTCTGTTGTATGAATAGGCCATTTTTTGTCTATTCACTCACTCTCTTGATAGACGTTTTAGTATTGCTTTTTGGGTGGAATTATGAGTAAGACTACTATGGATATTCATGTGTTTTCATATTTCTTGGGTGTAATTCTATTGTAATCTTTTGAGGAACTGCCAGACTTTTCCAAAGGGGGGACTGGAGGCGTGGCTTAAGTAGTAGAATACCTGCCTAGCATGAGCAAGGTCCTCAAAGCCAAACCAAAAAAAAAAAGAAAAGAAAACACACACACACACACACACACACACACACACACACAAAACACTGCTGTTTTCCAAAGTGGCGACATCAGTTCCCATTCCCACATGCTATGTATGGGAGCTCCAGTTTCTCCATGTCCTTATCAACGGTGATAATTAACGGTCTTTTTAATTACAGTCATCCTCATGGATGTGAAGTGGTGTCTCACTGAGGATTTCATTTGCATTTCCCTGATGGCTAATGATTAGCTCTTTGCACATTTGTTTGTCTTCTTAGAGAAATATCTATTAGTTTTTTTGCTCATTTAAAAGTTGAATTTTCTTTTTATTTGCTGTCATTTTGGGGGAAGAACTCTAGAATCTTATCTGAATGAGTTGGGAAATTTGGGGGTGCAGCAGATTCCTGTTCCTGGGAGTTTCTTTTCTTTTCGTTTTTTTTTTTTTTCCATCTTAAGTCAACAGTGGTGAAAAATGTGTTTTCTAATTCTGCAGTTTATGTTAGGAGTGTGGAGATAAAATCCCCACTTCATTGAAGCCGTATGAGATTGTAGGTGAACAGGCAGTCAGACTGTGACTCTGGGGAGACACCCAGCTTCTGTGATTTGCTTTTCTTCATGAGCCCTCACAGACCTGCCTTGTTCTCTGTCTTTGGGGCTCTGCTGGAGAAACCCAACCGCCTCCTTCCTAGATGGATCTTTATTTTGCCTGGGTAGAATCATAAGATGGATAAGATTGTTTATGTTGATTGATTGATGTTTCTTTCAATCCGATCTTTTCTACTTTGTCTTAACAAATCTGTCTTGTGAAAAAGTTTCCCTCTTTTTTTTTTTTTTTTTTGGTGGTGCTTGGGTATTGAACCTAGGGCCTCACACCTGCTAGGTATATACTGTACCACTGAGTTGTACCCACAAGTGCCTAACAGTACCTGTGTTTAGTCAGACTTTTTCATCATGTGACAAATACTTGAGGGAAACTATGTAAAAGGAGGAAGGATTTATTTTGGTTCATAGTTTCAGAGCTTTCAGTCCATGGTTGGTTGGATCCATTGCTTTGGGCCTGAGGTGGGGCAGAGAGTCATGGCAGCTGGAGCCTGTGGCACAGAGTACTCACTTCTTGGTGGCCAGGAAGCATAGCTAGGAAAGGACCAGCACCAGGTATAATATTCAGTGACCTTCCTCCAGCTGGGTCCCATCTCTTAAAGTTTCCACCACCTTCTAACAGTGCCACCAGCTGGGGACAACGTGAACCTGTGAGAGACATGTTACGCCACGACTGTAGCCTTTTATGTCTTGTAGTGCTATGACAGTTTTTAAAAAATTTTTTATTGCTTTTGTTCCTTTGCAATTTGCAAAGTGGAAACAAGCATGTGTGTTTAAAATGCCATCTTGGAAGTGTCTGGAGTTTGAGTTAGCCATCTCCTAAAGGCGGTTCACTGTGTTTTCCTAATTATGTAACATTTGGAGCCACCAGAGTCTTTATGGAACGGTTTTCCTCTCAGTGTTTCTTTTTAGGCTTTATCAAGGTACAATTGTTTTTAAAACCCCCCTGTACAATTCCATGACCGTCTGGACATCCATGATCTCATTAGCACAGTCATAACAATAAACATATCTGTCACCTCCATAAGTTCCGTGTGTGTGTGTGTGTGTGTGTGTGTGTGTGTGTGTGTGTGTGTGTGGTGGGGGCGGGGTGGGGCTAAGAGCTAGAACTTGTTCATCTTGTCTAACGATATGATATCACTTGACAACTCCCTGTGTCCCCCTCCCCATCGCCTGGCAGCCACCATTCTTTCCTTTTCTTCTGTGTTCACTCAGTGGCCTTAACACTGCATCATTTACTGGAGCACTCCTAGTTACACAGCACAGAGAACTTGTGATTAAATGGGCAAGCATAGGTATGGAAGATGGTATCAACACATCTATTAAACCCCTCAGTGTTTAATTTCTCTTGGAAATTTAATGTTTGCTTTACCTTTATGAAGGAGTTTTGCAGGAAGGATGTGTTTGAATTTGCTATGCAGCTGGTTTTCTTCTAGGAAGTGGTAAACTCTCACAGGAATTAATGAGAAGAAATTTACAATGCAATAATTGCTTTTCTTAATATGAAATAATCCATAAAATCTTCAATTTCATTTTCTAGTCTCTCCCTCATTTTTTGTACTGTTAAACATATAGTCCTTTAGCCCAGTAGATAAGTTAATAAGTAATGAAACTTGGTTGAACTTTCAAATGCCTTGAATTAAACCAGGCTTGGAAGTATTCTTTATGGGGACAAGGCTTTTGATCTTGATACTCCTTTATTTATTTGGCAGTTATCTTTGTTTAGGAAAGTATTTTCTATTAAATTGATGAGGATAGGAGAGGATGGGTCATGTTGTCAGTGGGTGTGCACTGAATGTTTGGTGGATTACATCTAAGAGGCAATCCAAGCATGGACAAGAGGAAGGTGACATTTCATACCTGAGCAGTCAAAGGCTGTCCCAATTTCCTACCCAAAAAGGTACCTTTTCAGCTACAATCTACAGGCCATAAGCCTTTATTTCACAAATTTCAGAATAGTGTTGTAAGCAAATATGGAACATAAGATAACGTGAAGGTACTTTTCCAAAGTATCAACTGCTATGAAATTTTTAGTGGATTACTGTAATTGCAGGTTCCAACATATGTCTGTATGTATATTTAGAGCTTTTTCCATTAGGAAAATAACAAATGTACTAAAGAAGAGAGGTTTGGTACAATGACCCCCCCCATCCTAGGTCATAATATTTTTTTAAGGTAGCTTAGACAACAGAAATGAAATGTCTTCAAGCTCCAGAGCTCAAAAGTCCAAAATGGACATGTGGGTCGGGGCTGCATTCCTTCTGAGGTATCAAGCAGAAAATGTGTACTAGCTCTGAGGGGCTACCTGCAGTCAAAGCCGGCATCGTAGTGTCTTCTCATCTTTCTGGTGTCTGCTCCCACCAGGTGCTTACTTTGTTTTTTGTTTTTTTTTTAATACATTGAAATGAAATTTATATAACTTAAAATTTGTCATTTTAAAGCATCAGTTGAGTAGCTTTTAGTACATCTTTAGTGTTGCACAGTTGTCAGCACTGTTTAATCCAGAACACTTTCATCACCTCCAGAAGACAGCCCATGCCCACCAGCAGTCAGTCACTGCCTCCTTTTCCAGCCAAGCTCTTGTGAGAAATGCTGCTGTCAACATTTGTTGTTCAAGATTTTGTGCAACACTTGTTTTCAGTTATCTTGGCTATACACCAGGAAATGGAATTGCTGGATCATGTAGTAATTCTAGGCAATTTTTTGAGGATATACCCAACTGTTTTCCATGATGGCTGTACCATTCTTCTGTTCCTACCAGCCATGTGTAAGGATCCAATTTCTTATTTATTTGCCAACACTTATTTTCTATTTTTAAAATAACCATCCTAGCAGGTATAAAGTAGCATCCTAGATGATTCTAAGAACATTTTGGCCCCGAAGACATTTGGATGTTCTCCGCTGGAGTCCACACCCCGCTTTGCTGTCTGTTCTGAGTCTCAGCATTCTTAGGCATCTGACGTGCTCTTGTTGCTGTGTTGAGCTCTTTAGGCTCTGCACGCACTTGACTTCACCAGCAGTTCAGACTCCTATGCGTAAACAACACAGAGCATAATGCAGGTGAGGCTGAGGAGAGCAGGTGTTCCCAGTAAGGAAACTTGAAGTGGGAGAAAGAGATTCCCAAAGCCATATACCTTTGGGAACAATAGCATTGGTTCCAGAAGGAAATTCTCCTTGCAGGAGGATTCACCCTAGGGCTCCTTTAAATAGGAAGCCCCCAGTTCATCCAGACGTTAAGTTCAAGGTAGAACATCTGAATAGTGGACAGCTGTCTAAGGCCATTGTCCTGTTAAATGAGGCACACCTCCACCATTTATTTGCTTGTTAGCCTTCCTCCTAAGTCCTATTCAGCAGAAGTGAGTAAGGGTTTGCCTGACAGACTCCCTGACATATGACAGAAAAATAGCCACTGGATTTGATAATTACGAAGTCATTGGTGATCATCTGAAAGAGCAGTGTCTGGGTCAGGTGGGCCGGACAGAACACTCATACCCTATTAAGATAACCTCTCTGGTGCTTTTGCTGGGCTGAACATGGGGCTAGATGGCCTGCACAACTGACTGCATGCTGTATTTCTGGTGTTCTACCCACCTCTCGAGTAGCTGGGATTATAGACATGAGCCTCCATGTCTGTCTGGGATTGAGTGTTTGCCTTCTTTCCTTAGACTATTTTTCTTACTTTGCTATAACTTTCCTATTGTATAGTTTGTGTATCAAACAATGTGAAGATAATTATATATGACTTGATATTTCAGGGACTATGTTTTAGGGTTTTTAGTTTTATTTTTTAGAGACAGCCCAGCCTGTTCTGGAACTCACAGTCCTCCTGCCTCCACTTTCTGTGTGCTGGGATTACAGGTGTGCACGACCATGCCTGGCCACTGTAGTGTTTTATTTTTGCATTATAAAATTTTCAGGATAGTTGCTTTGTATTGCCAACTACATAAAGTTCTGACCGGTTAAGAAATACTGTTCCTGAACAGATGGGTAATAGAAATTATTTCTTAGCCTGGTGGTTTTCCTTGCACCATCTTCTCAATGACTCTGATTTTTTCCTTCCTGTTTTCATAGCCGCTTCCTGAGAAGTTTGTGGTGAAAGGGGTTGTGGATCGTTTTTCAGAAGAGTTTGTGGAGACCAGAAGAAAAGCTCTGGATAAATTTCTAAAAAGAATTACTGATCACCCTGTGCTCTCTTTCAATGAACACTTCAATGTTTTCCTTACTGCTAAGGTAAGGACAGAACTTTGTATATTCCTTCCCCAAATGATCGTTCATGGGTTTCTCTCTTAAAAGCTACATTGATCCCTCTCCAGCCTCCTGCACAAATGGTCCTCGGTTACAGGTATCAGAAAATTTTTGATGCCTGTCGCACTGGCATGGTTTTTGTGTTAGGATTCAGGAGGAAACCAAACCTCCCCCGCTGGTATAGCAGTGGCAGTTAAAATATTTTCTCGTGCCAGAAGCAGATAAGTGTTTCCTTAAATGCTTCTTGGCAGTATTACTGAGTTAGCCACAAAAGGGAAAGAATATTTGTTGGAAGTTTAGCAAGGATGTTCTTCATAGTCTCATTGCAGACAGGAAACTGAAGTTCAGAAAGTTTGTGCTTACACAGTGAAATTGGGTCTTTGTGGTGCCTAAGATCACACCTCTCCTCCGTATCTCACTGCCTGACCATTCCTGTTGGGTATGTGTTTTCCAAGCATTTGCCAGAGAAATATTTGGGTCCTACACAATTGTCAGAACCTGTGTATTCAAGCTCAGGTGTTCATTAGCTTGTCTCTGCACTGACTCTGTTGGCAGAACTGGCCAATGGAAAACCTGAGGTGCCTCACTCACTGCCTGCAGAATGGGTCACTGCTGAGACTCTGAGCTTCCTTCCAGCCCCATGTGTTTGGTTTCAGATGTCATATTCCTGATTCCAGCCATTCATATGTTGGCGAGAGTATTGACGTCCAGGTACTGTCCAGTTTTCTGTTTGCTGTCCAGTTTAAAATTGCAGAACGGAGAAATATTTACAGATCACATCAGCTGATATTTTAAGGGGCTTTTGTTCTCCACTCGGTGGAAACCACCTGGCAGAGTCCTTCAGTTTTGCTTTGTTTTTTAACCTCAGCTAGCATTTTTCTTCACCTCCCCACACCAAGCCTTCTTCAGGTTGAACACTTCTTAATAAGTATTTCCTGGTGAATGGATTTTAAAGTATAGTTCTTTGAACTTGTATTCAAAGTCAAGTTCATCTTTTCTCTAAAAGTGCAACTCACTTTCTCACCCAAGTTGCAGGTCCATTGTCCAGAAGGTCTTCAGACACCATCTTTATTGAGAGAAAGCGGAAGAGGAGGGGCTGGATGCTTAGTCATTAGGGATCTGTACGAAGAATAAATGGGAAGTGTGCATGGGAGAGAGAGGGAGAGAGAGAGATTTGTTGACCAAGCAGTATGAAAATGATTTAATGATTTAAAAAATGTGTAAGGTCCTCCAAAATCCAACTTTACATAAGTGAGTGTAGGACAGGTGCCTTTAATCATAATGCATGCCAGCAGCCCAAGTTCAGTATTACTTGTTGAGCTAAACATACTGAATGGCCCTTTTTTTCTTTTTAAAAATTTTTAAATTGAGGCTGGGCACCGATGACCCATGCCTATAATCCTAGCTGCTTGGGAGGCTAAGATCTGGAGAATGGTGGTTCAAGGCCAATGTGGGCAAATAGTTCACAAGACCCCTTTTCCAAAATAACCAGAGCAGAATGAGTAGAGGTGTGGCTTATGAGGTAGCATGCCTGCTTTCCAAGTGTAAAGCCAAGTTCAAATCCCAGTTCCACCAGAAAACAAATTAAATTCTGGCAAAATACACGTAAGTTAAAATTTACCATTATTACTACTTCTTAGTGTACAGATCAGTAGAGATCAGTCAGAGGTTTTAAAAGTTATGTTAGAAGCAGTGTTGTATTTGAAGGATGGAGTGCTCAGGTGCATGGACTTGGCTAGAGGGACTGTTGACAGGGCCTGGACAGGGAACATGGATGTGTGTGTCTGGGGATCATGGTGTCAGTGGTGAGGGGCATCACTGTATATGTGACCAGGTCATTCTAACTCAGCTGCTTGTTTCCCCAGTCTTCCATTTCCAATGAGAGGCTGTCTTTAGGAGTGGGTTTACTCAGTCCTAGCTGTGCGAGTGATCGAGTCCCTTGAGTTTGTTCATATGTCACTCTTAGGACCTCAACGCCTACAAGAAGCAGGGGATGGCATTGCTGACCAGAGTGGGAGAGTCAGTCAAGCATGTCACAGGAGGCTACAAGCTGAGGAGTCGGCCTCTTGAGTTTGCAGTCATTGGTGAATACTTAGACACCTTTGCACTCAAACTGGGAACCATCGATCGAATAGCCCAAAGGATCATCAAAGAAGAAATAGGTGAGCTCTTTGTTAAGACCCTGATCGTGCCCAGGGACTGCAGTGGCAGGAATGACATTCATATGTGCTGAGCAGAATCAAACCATGCAAATGCTGCAGTGATAAAACCAGGCCACATTTATAAAACAGATAAAAACCAGAGGAGGAGCTCATTGTGACTGGAGTATAGCTTTGCACCCATCTCTTGTCTTGCATCTCAGCCTTGTGTTTGCTTTTTCCCCTGCTTCTGAGTCTCCAGAGCTTTCCCCTTTATTTTTCTTAACTGTAGCTTTAAAAGTGGAGGTGTGAGCACAACTGCCCTTCATCCCTAGGAATGATAATTGTAAAAACAAACTTAGGTACCCTTTCTGGCAGGAGCATGGTGATCTGTGTTTGCCACAGTTGTAGCCCAGTGAGCCTTCAAACTCAAAATGTACTCATACTTCCTGCCCTGCTTCATTTCACACCCACTCCTCAGCTGGCCAGTGCCAGCTTGTGTCTACCCTTCCTTCCTGCTGGTTGCCACCCTGCCTTTCCATGCCTCTCATGGTCACCCAATTTGCCATGTCCTAGAATGCTGGGGGTTTTTGTCTTCTTACACATGTGTAGTCCAGATTGACTTGAACAGTGTAAATGATCGTGCTGACATGTTAAATGCATAGCAATAGATGCTTCAAATGGTGTCATTCACTGACAACTCAACAATGGCATCAGTATTCTGTTGTAACTATAAGAATCCTGGTGACAAAGGAAGGGCCAGATTTTCTTTGGAGGGAAGAAGAGCCAACATTCTTTTCTTCTTCCCTGTACTCCTTACCCTTCATCCACTGATGGTACCATGCGAGTCCTGCAGAGACAGCTTTTGGTCCCTCCACACCTAAGGATGACATGGAAAATTTTAGTGGAACCAAGGATGACCACTGAATGAGAGAGGGAGTCTGCTTACATAGGACCACATCTCTCTCAGCAAAACCTTTCCTATAATTCCATTGTTTTCCCCATTGTGACTGATTTCTTTTCCTTTAAAAATACCACTAACCCTATGTGATAGTCTGTTCCCATTACCCATTAAAGCACTGCTTCACTCTATGGGTAGGGGAGTGGTTATTTCTGAAGATGTTTGCAAGATGTAGCTCTTAACATTTTTCCCATTATCCAGAGGCCTGGATGTTCTGATGTTACCTGTAAAAAATGTTTGTTAGAAACAACAGGTGAGGAGCTGGCCAAGGCGTTTTAATGTAGAGAGCTTTTGGCTATGTTGACTCCAGAGTCGTTCATACTAGGGAGCACTCCCAGCCAGATACTAACTGGCTTCTCTTCCCCCTTCAGAGTACCTCGTAGAGCTGAGAGAATACGGGCCTGTGTACTCCACATGGAGTGCCTTAGAAGGTGAGCTGGCTGAGCCCCTGGAAGGTGTGTCAGCTTGCATCGGGAACTGCTCCACAGCCTTGGAAGAGCTGACAGATGATATGACAGAAGACTTTCTACCCGTGCTCAGGGAATATATTTTATACTCCGACTCCATGAAAGTAAGCTGGCTTACTTCTTTGCAATAGTCATTATCAAAAAGTAATGGACTATTGTTTGCTCCCACGTGGTAGACACTTCCTTCTTCCTAGGTGGGCAGATGACATGTGACGTGAACTGACATCATGGTCCTATTAATAGACTACATGGTAAACCCAGTATGTGCACTAGATGATAAAAGGCTGTTTAGGAGACATTCTTATTAGTATACTCAGAGTTCAAGAAGACACAATATCCACTAAACAAGGGCAGGATGTGTGGATTATTTGTTAGCCAGCGAGAGCTCTGGGAAGTTACAGCGTGACTGCTGAAATCAAATTGAATGGTAAAGTTGATAGGTGAGGGTATGGAAATCTTAGAAAATAAGACAAAAAAATTGGAAAAAAAAGGCAAACGTGCAAAAATACAGAAGTGTGAAAGAAAGGTAAGAGTCTGAGGGGATTAATCCTGAAGGGTCTGCAGAGCTCCTGATTGAAAGTGCAGGGATAACCAAGGGAAGGAAATTATGAAAGAAATAATTCATGAAATTCTCCCAAAGCTGAAGACACGAGTCGTCAGATTAAATGGATATGCTGATTGCTTAGGAATAAGGAATGAAAAGAGAACCAGCCTAAAGCATATCACTGTGAAATTTTAAATCGAAAGTGGTATGATTTTGAAAGCTTTTAAAGAAAGGGAGAAGGTATAAAAGGTATGAGAGTCAGAATGGCTTTGGTCTTACTAGCAGCAATGAATAAAATAGAAGAAGAATGAGAACCAAATATTTCTACCTCCAACTCTATATGCAGCATGACAATAAAATGCTTTAATTCCCACACCAGAAACTTCCCCAGCCTGCACAGAGACTGGTTGAGAATATAGCTTTAGGGGACTACCATGATGGTGACACCAGTGAGAGAAAAAGGATTCATCTTCCTGACAACAGAAGATAACTTGGGACTTAGTGTTGAATATCCCCACCTCCAAATAGCCCCTTACTTCTGAAGGAGCCCTCTGAATTGCTTGGCTTTGGGGCAGGTCTGGGGCCTCCCCTCAGAAATGACCTAGTAGGGAATGATCCATATCTACTGAGAAACCTGTCAGTCAACAATGGGTTGTAAAAATGGGAAGCCAGAAAAATCGTAGACCTATGAAAATATTCTATAGCTTAAGAAAAGGAGTGAAAAATGAATCAAGTAGTTATAAAAATTTTTTAAAACTTTATTATGAAAAATTTCATACCCCAAAGCAAAGAGATAGTATAACAAAGTCCCACATAGCCAGCTTTCTTGTTCCGTCTTGTTCTATCAGGTATGGATCTGTTAAGGCTCTTGATCCAAAGGGTGGACCATGGGGAGGGAAGCCTGTTCCTGGTTTTGAATCATGGTGTCATGTCTACCCTATAAAGCTGCTAATAAAATACTTTGAAAGTCAAGCTTGTGTCTGGATCTCACCGTGTCAGGAAAGCACAGGAATTTCCTTATCTGTGGGGTAAGCATGGTGGTGATGACAGGACAAAGCTCGGATGTGAGATCTTAAGCCTGAGCAGCCTGGTTGTGAATTATCGGAACTGAGCCCGAAAACCAAAACTTGTGGCTCCACATTTGCAGCTCATTTTCCTTTTTCCATTCCTTCTATTGCCTCTTCTAAAAATTGAGATTTTGAGATACTGCCTTTTAAATTCTGTGGCTGAAACAAGTAGAGAAAGGCATCCTGGCTTTCTTAAAATGGACCTAAATATTTCATTTTCCTTGATATTTTACTTAAGTTAATAGTGTTTGTTTTGTGAAGAGTTACATTTTTACAATCCCTGGACTTGTTTCTTGTATGGCCAAAATTCTCCCTAAGCTCACTCAGACTAAAGTGCCAATGCATGCACAGTTTTAGGATATTCTCGTGTCCTAATTTCTTTATTGTTGTATGTGGCAAGCACGTTAGTACTTAATGTACACTTGTGCTGAAGCAGGATTGTCCACTTAGCAAGGATTTATCTGTCATCTTTATTAAAACATCATTACATTGTGAGACATAAGCTTGTGTGAGTGATTGAAGTTATATATCAAAGCATTTGTTTGATCTCTTTCCTCATCCCATGTGTGAGGCATGTGTACTCAGTTCACAGAGCCAGAAAAAAATTGCAATCTGGTCAGTCAGGCTGGGAGAGGGATTGTCTGCAATGTTGTCCAGGGAAGGAAGGGCCTGGCAAAGAGGAAGAGTTGATTGTCGGTCTCTGGAACCTGAGCACTGCCCCATGGCAAACTGAGCTGCACCCTGGTAGAAAAAAAAAGAGGCCACCTGCTTCCCTCTTGGCACAAGGAAGACATTTCTGCAGTGTGCTCTGGGCCAGACACAAGTGACTTGATAGCAAGGCCAGGACTGCACGAAGGGTTGTTAGGGTACATGTAGCCCGGATTAGACATGGACACAGTGATGGATGTCTTTAGTGGCTCTCTACCTTTGAATATTGCTGCTCCGTAAGATTTTTAAAAATTATTTTTCGTTGTCATACATTAATAGTACAAGGGGTTTTATTGTGATAATGTCATAGATGTGTACAGTGTACTTTGGATAAGTTTATCCCCCTTTTTTTTTGAGATGGTTTCACTGTGTAGCCCAGGATGGCCTCAATCTTGAGAGTCTCTTGCCTCAGCCTCCTGAATGCTGGGATTACAGGCATATGCCGCCATGTCCAGCAAGAATTCTGTTTTTTTTTTTTTTTTTTGGCGGGTTTGAACTCAGGGCTTCGCACTTGCAAAGCAGGTGCTCTACCACTTGAACCATGACTCTAACCCAAGAATTCTTAACTATATTTTATTCCTACAGGAAAGTCATCTAATTCCATCTTCAAAATAACTTTCTGAATTTTAGATGTAAGTGGGACAAGACTTTGGTATTACTTATGGAAACTAAAATGGGAAGAAGGGGATTACTGAAGGCCTGGCTGCAACATGCTCCTCATCACTGCTGGCTAGGCTTCAGAACTGAGGACCTGGCTTTGTTTTGATGGAGAGTTACTGGTGTGCTGATGTTTTGTCAGCCTCCCCCTTTCATCTTGGTTTTGGGTGAACCAAAGTGAGTACCTGTCCTTAACATTTGGAGTTTTAGGAATTCGCACTAGTTGAGGGTCTTAGATGGGGCTTCTTGAAGCCCTTTCCTAATGTGGCTGTGGTTGGGGTCCTCTCTGTGTTTGAAAGGGACTTTGGGATCATGTTATCTAATTTGTTCATTTTATAGCTAAAGATACTGAACCCTATAGGTAAATCTTTTCTCTGTTCTTTGGCTGTAGACAACACTCCCTAGTGACTAGTCACCTAACAACTATGTACTGACTACTTGCCAAGAGGAAAGCTAGATGATCTCTGGCTTTTCAAGGCTGGTCTCAAATTTTATCTCTTTAAGGACAGTTGTGGCTGGGTACATTCTATTCTCTTTGAAGGTGGAGAGAAAGCATAGAAAAAATGGGGTCATTATCGGACCACATAGAACTAATGGAGCAGGGAGATTTTTCAGGCAGTTAACATTGAGAACGGCTTGTACTAGAAAGATGGTTGAAGGCATGGATTACAAGAAAGTGTGGAAAGACAGGGTGGGGAGGGGAGGGAGAGGAGTGCCTGCCCATGTTAACACCCTGTGGCTCACACATTAGCCCTTGCGTGGGATTTCACATCCTACAGCCTGTGTGTGTGTGAGTGTAATTAGAGCAGTGATGGGCTGAGAAGAGATTGTCTTAGAGTCCCTTTCCAAATTTCTGGCTGTGTTTTTTGACTCTTGGGGTCATGAAAAGGCCAAGAGGCAGAGAAGCCTTATTTAAGAAGGTTAGGATAGGACTATCTTATTTCCTGCACTGCCTTATCCATAGGAGGTGGTCGATGGTTATTTAATTGAATTTGATAGTTTGGTGAATTTGGATCATTTACAATATATAACTGTTTTACCCATGTTGTGCATCTTATTATTTTTAAGACCTATAGAGGTCAACAAGCATGCTTATTTCTGAGATCTTGGGGGATGACTGGGGATGAGGTGAGGGTCTGAAGTATGGAGAAAGTAGCTCTGGCTAAGACTTAATGACATAAAGGATTTAGCCATACAAGAACCCCAGGACAGAGCATTTCAGGCAGAGGGAATGGCCAGTGCAAAAGTTCTAAAGCAGAAGTGAGCTTGGCACATTTGCAGATCAGCAGGGCCAGTGTGAGTGGAGGACAATGAGCAAGGGAGTGCGTGGTTGGAGGGAAAGTCGAGGAGAGGGAATAGGTCACATAATAGTGTCTTAAAGGACCTGGATGGTTAGAGACTGGATTCTGTTCTAAGAAACAGAAGGGAAGCTATTTGGTTTTATGCAGGCAATCAACAGGATGTGATTTCTGCTTTCAAGAGATAACTAGTGCTGTTGTGCCGAGACTAAGTGGTAGAGAATGAGAGTGGAGTGGGCGAGACCATGCGGGAGGCTGTCCCAGGGAACCAAAGGAGGTAGAACTTGGACTCGATGGTAGAGAAGTGGATGGACTGGGGACATGTCTTGGTCAAAGAGCCAAAAAGACTTACTGCTGTATTAATGTGAAGTAAGAAAGGGAGGAATTGAGGTTTGGGTTTTAGCAATTTGAGTGGAAGGTGTCCTGTTTATTGGGATGGGGAACTCTAAGGGAGGACACGTTGGGCAGTTGGCAATCTAGTTCTTTGGCCCTTTTGAATTAAAAAATATGCCTACTGGCCATTAAAGTGGAGCAGTCGTGGCAGTTGGTTATGAGTTTTAGTTCAGCGTGGGACTAGAAATGTGGATGGGGTTTAAGTCTATGAGACTGAGGTAGGTCACCTGGGTAGATGAGCTCCAGGTAGCCTGTGGCCCAAGGTCTAATCAAGAGGAACAAGTAGCAAAGGAGCCTGAAAAGAAGTGGTTGATGTCATAGGAGAAAAAAAGTAGAGAACTGGTTCTGGAGAGCCAAGAGAAATGCTAAGGAGAAAGGACGTGATAGACAGTTGCTGTTGGATTTAGTAATACGGAAGTTGGTGTTCGTGATTAGAG